ACTCCGGGCACCTGCGGGCACCTGCGGGCACCTCCGGGCACCCCTGGGCACCCGGGCACCCGGGCACCCGGGCAACCCCAGGCACCCGGGCACCCTGGCGTGCAGCGAAAATCGGCGGCAAACCTAACCTAACCATATGAATCCGCTAGGACCCCTACAGAGGCAAGCTCTGAGACTATAGGGCTATAGGGATATAAGGCTATTAGGGCTATAGGGATATAAGGCTATAGGGCTACAGGGCTATAGGGATATACGGCTATAGGGCTAGGGCTATAGGGCTATAGGGCTATAGGGCTACTGGGCTATTGGGCTATTGGGCACCCCCCGGCACCCGGGCACCGCCGGGCACCCGGGCACCCCGGCACCCGGGCCCGGCCACCGAAATCGGCCACGCACCTCACCGGCCACCCAGGCACACGGGCACCGCCGGGCAACCGGGCACCCAGGCACCCGGGCCCGGCCACCGAAATCGGCGACCAACCTCACCTAACCCTTTAATCCGCTAGGAACCCCTACAGAGGCAAGCTCTGATTGGGGAACTTTGCCTTCGTCGTCTTATTATTATGATGGCGATGACTGTTATCAATATTAGTATTATTACGGCTACTTCCATTGTTACAAGTCGCATTATGATTATTATGATTATTATTATGGTTATTATGATTATTAGCATGGTTATTATTATTAGTATTATTATCATTATCATTATTATTATTATTGTTATTGTTATTATTGTTATTGTTATTATTCTTATTGTTATTATTATTATTATTCTTCTTCATATGCGGATGCCTTGCCAGGCAAAACGTGAACTCGAGGCGCGAGTCGGCCTTCAGGGTCAGCACTCGACGCTCCTGGGCGGGCACTCCTCCTCCTCCTCTTTCTCCTGCTCCTCCTGCTGCTTGGCGTCCTCCTCCTCCTCCTCCACCTCAACCGCCCTCCTCCTCCTCCTCATCCTCCTCCTCATCTTCCTCCTGTTCCTCCTCCTCAAACTCCTCCTCCTCCGCACTCCCCCACCTCCTTCGCTCCCTCCTTTTCTTCCTGCTCCGCACTCGCCCTCCTCCTCCTCCTCCTCCTCCTCCTCATCATCATCATCATCATCATCATGATCATCATCATCAGCATCATCATCATCAGCATCATCATCAGCATCATCAGCATCATCCTTCGCCTGAGACTCCCTCACCATTCGTGCCCCTGGAGCTCGAGATCTCCAACAGCTCCAAGGATGGAGAGGGGGGGCCCGTCAAACTGGAGCTCTCGCCTCAGCACCACACGGATTCGTGGCCAAAGCCTGCAACAACGAGGGGGGACGGAGGGCGGTGTGCTCGAAATGGGCTCTCGCCTTGGCGCGGGCGATCCTTCGTCTCAAAGGCCTGCAGCAGCTAGGAGAATGGAGGGCGGCACCATTTCGAAATGGAGCTCTCGCTTCAGACTTCCTCGACCTCAACTACCAGGAGAGGAGGGCGATGAGCGATGGGGGAGGAGGAGGAGGAGGATGAAAAGGAGGAGGAGGAGGAGGAATAGGAAGAGGAGGAGGAGGAGGAAGGGAGGATGAGGAGGCGGAGAAGGAGAAGCGAGGAAGAGGAGGAGGAGACGAAGAAGAAGAACTATGTATCAAAATGTGGCTCTCGCTTGAGACGTCCTCCAGATTAGCAACCAGAGTGTCAACTAGTGCAGCCTTTACACTGGTGGGGGGCGGCTCACTTTCAAACTGGAGCTCTCGCTGAACGCCTCCTTGAATTGAATGATCCTTGCCTTGTTGCATTCCAGGTATGTCTAGATGTATCTTCACATACTCGAACCATCGCGCGCGCTTCGCGCGCGCTCGAGTTCTAATGCATGCCAGGGGGTGGTTCCACAAACGAGTGCGGCCGCAAGATCGAAGTGTCAAGATCATGATCGTCACCATGATCATCACCGACGCCATTCAGAACATCGTGATCCTCAGCATCACAACCATCGTCATCAACTCCAGCATCCCCGTCGCAATGAGCATCAGAATCAGCATCGTCATCAACACCGTAATCATCATTACCAGCATCATCCTCGTCAGCATCACCATCATCGTCGCCATTAACACCATCGAATAATCATCGTCGTCATCGTCACGCGATCTCTCTGTCGCGTGTCTCAACTTGCACTGCCATTGGAGCCCTCTGGGAGCCTTCCGAGGCCGCGCTAATTACAGGGCCCAGAGAGGACTTCGGAAGGGTTCCGGCAGGACCCGAAGAGAGCTCCAGAGGGCCTTCGAGAGCAGTGATAAGCAAGTCACGCGAGCGCTCTCTCGCGTGACTTAACCTGCGCTGCTGTGGAAGCCCTCCGGGAGCCCTCCCAGGCCACACTGGGAGGCCCCGTCATGGGGCCCTTGGGGGGGCCCTCACCGACCATGTAGGGATCCTCTGGTGGCCCCATCCACTTCCTGCGCCCGCTGGCATCAGGGATGGGGTCGAGCTGAACCCTGTCTGTCTTTCCAGCGTCTGCCCCTGCGCCTGCCGCCCCCAGAGCGCCGTTTGGGGCAAATCCTAGATGTCTGGCACCTGGTGGAAGGTCGCCACGTAGCATCATCGAGCGGGCCCGGGCCCTTCTTCTTCTTCTTCTGCTTATTGTTCTTATTATGCTTCGTATTATGATTATTCTTCTTCCTATGATTATAATGATTCTTAGTATTCTTCATATTATTTTCATTATTCTTATGTTTCTTATGATGCTTCTTCGTATTATTCTTGTTTTATTATTATTATTATTATTATTATTATTATTATTATTATTGACGGGGCCAGCATTCCCGGGGGCGGAATCTTCGGATCCCCCCTCTTCGAATGCACCGCCACCGCCGTCATCGCCACCTCCGGGCCGTCGCGGGCTAGGGGGAGTGTAGCCAGGGAGCCTTGTGACAAACTACCTCCTCCCGCAAGGTTTTCCTCCGGCGTTCAGGAAGCTCTGGCAATGGCGGAAGCCACAACGAGCGCGCACGAAGCAAGACGATTGCAGTGCACACGCGCGCAGGCTGGCTTCCAGGAGGCGCGGGGAGGAGGGTGGGTGACGGCTGAGGCCATTGCTCACGTCATTCCAGCTTACAAATCAAGCTAGACCTCCCCCCGCAAGGTTGTCCTCCTGCACCCGGGAAGCTCTGGCAATGGCGGAAGCCACAACGAGCGCGCACGAAGCAAGACGATTGCAGTGCACACGCACGCAAGCTGGCTTCCAGACCCACACCTCCATACACAAAAGAGTCATGGCAAGTGTGTGCGCACCTGGGCCGTGAAGAGAGGAAACAATAAAAGCACTCAGATTTGGCCACGCACGAGCCTGTCAGTGGCGCGAGCGAGCAGGCCAGGCAGCGCAGCGGCGAAGCTCGCCACGAGCTGACGCGAGGCCTGCGCCATGTTCGGCACGAGCGCCACCGCGGCCACTTCCTGGATGCAAATCTCCATGGACTTGAGCTGCCTCCACCGCCCGCGCCACTGCGTGCGAGGCAAGTCCTCGCACTCCTCAAAACAGAAGGTGGCGCCGCCGCCGCCGCGGTGCGAGGCTGGTGTCAGGCCGTGGGCCTCTGTGGCCGCGATTCCGAAAAACTGTGCATCGTGGCAGCGGCGGAAGTGCGGGTATGAGCCTCTGAAGATTTGCGGCCCTTTCTGCTGGCCCGCTGCCAGCCTCTCTAACAGTCTGACTAAGACCACCTCATCACATCTGGCGTGCTCCATCCGCGCCACCGCCCATCGGGCCTTGGGCTGGTGGACTCGCACGCAGCACACCTCATCATCCGACATCAGCTGCGACGGCAGCAGCAAGTCCGAGAAACACAAGCCACGCGCCTCGCCTGGTCGCAGCATGCAGGTGAAGGCCAGGAGGGCCAGGACGGCCATGTCGATCCAGCCCCAGCTGAGCGCCAGCGGCACCAGGGCGCGCAGAACCGGCACGGGGGTGGGGCACCGGTGCCGCGTGGGCACTGCGAACTGCCACGCCTGCGCCACGTCCCGCGCGGCGCCCATGTGCCTCCGCAGCGACCTCTCGACGCCCACCACTGCGTTGATGGTCTCGGTGCAGTGCTTGAGGCTGCGGCCGGGGGAGTAGAGCGCCCGGCCGCGCGCCGCCACTGCGTTGGCGACCACCCGAGGCCCTTGCACCACCAGCGATGCCAGCTCGCAGCCCCCGTCCAACTTCAGCAGCCAGTTCTCGACCTGCCGCAAGAGCAGCTGCCTCATCTGCGCGGTCTGGGTGGTCGTCTGCGGCCTCGTGCGAAGATCCACCGCCGGGCGCGCTGCTGGAGCCTCGCCTGCCACGCGAGCGCCATCCACCAGCAAGCACGCCGCCAGGCCTAGCATCATCACGACCGCTCGGGCTGACCGTCTCGAGCATGCGCTGCGGCGGGGGCCCTCTCCTGGAAAGCCGAGGGCGCTGTCGAATTCCTTCAGCCGCCTCAGGCGCGCCAGCTTCACCGCCATCCGGCGCCACTCCGACTCAGCCCGCCGCTGTCTCGGCACACGCGTCCAATGGTCCAGTTCCGCGAGGTCTCCAGCGCCCGCCGCGGCCCACCAGGACGGCAGGTCGCTCGCCTGGTTGTAGCGGTGCATGAGCGTAGTGTAGGGCCTGGCCTCGTAGCCGATGATGGCCTCTGCGACCTCCGCGGCCGCCTCCATGCCCGCCGGCGCCCCGGCGTACGCACGTTATCTGGGTCCTGCGGGTGGAAGCACCAAGCCTCGCTGTGGTCGCATGGCTTCCGGCAACAACCCTTCGCCACACAGGAGCCCTCGCTCGCGCCCATGAAGCCGCACTCCTGCCGCAGGGCGACGTGGCACCATGAGGCCGGCACTGACGCTGGCGGCTGCTCTGTTCTCGCGGGGTCATCGGATCCCTGAAAGAGCCAGTCCTCCTCGGGCTGCCAGCCGCCAGAATCCTCGGAACTCCGCCAGAATCCTCGGAACTCCCGCCATTCTTGTGGAAGCACCACAAGCCCCCGTGGCGCGTCTCCCGCCAGCAGCAGCCCTTGCTCTCGCAGGTGTCCTTCTTGACCCCGTAGGAGCCGCAGTCCCGCTTCTCGGCCTCGGGCACTGCACACTGCGCATCTCCCGTCGGGGCGGCGGCCGCCCCACCGCGGCCCTGGAAGCACCAGGGGGTGCCGTGGCCGCCTGGCCGCCAGCAGCAGCCCTTCGCCTCGCATTGGCCCTGGGCTTCCCCCATAAAGCCGCAATCGTTGCGCTGCCTGTCCGGCACCGCACACTGGTCCTCGACCGGGGCCGGGCCTGCCGCCTCGCCGTGGAGGCACCAAGGGGCCCCATGGCCGCCCTGTTTCCAGCAGCAGCCCCTCGCCTCGCACTGGCCCTGGTCCACCCCCACGTAGCCGCAGTCCCTCCGCCGGTGGTCCGGCACCGCGCACTGGCCACGGCCCGCGGTAGTGTTGAGGCGCGCCGCCCCCGCACGGGTATCCGCTCGCACCTGAGCCAGCCCGGCCCCGCGGGGCCCGCGGTGGCTCTGCGTCTGGGGGGCCCTGCGCTGGGCCAGGCTGGCGCGGGGGGCCGAGCTGTCCCCGTCGACCCAGGCCTCGGCACGCTGCGCCGCGCGGTGCATCAGCTGCGCCAGCTGGTCCCGCCCAAGCCTGGTGCCTTCCAGGGCCAGCGTGGCGTTGGTACTGGCGCTGGCACTGGCGCGATGCGTCTCCACAACGACGCGGGCCGCCTGCGCGGCGGACAGGAGCGCCGCGAGGACGGCGAGAGAGGTCGGCATGGCGGTGGCGCTGGAAGAGGTGACGAGACCTGTGTTTTCAGATCTCTACGGATTTTACTTAGCAGCGGTGAGAATTGTTACACTTTGCAGCTCGTTCTGAGCCGAGAAGCACCTGTTGTCTCTGCCGGGTCTGGTCTGATGAAGCAACCTGTCTGCTTTCATGTGGGTGGCGTCCGCAGCGGCACGCCCAGGGGCCCAAGTTAAAACGGGGCTCGAAGCAAATGTCCGCGCGAAGCATCGACCAACCCAAGGCCAGGCAAGCACAATAACATAAACGATTCGGAAATTGGAGCGACGCAGCGGAGATATTGGGGCCGCGTGGACCTGCGCGAAACAGGCCCTCTGGGGCCCTCCAACAACGTCCCAGAGAGCTCCGAGAGGAGCCCAAGAGGAACCAAGTCTCGAGAACGAGTGACGCGAGAGCGCTCTTGCATGATTTGGTTGTGTCGGGGCCCTCCCAAGCCCTCGAGTCCCATCTCGGAGGGCCCCAAAAGGGGCCCGCGAGAAATCAAAAACAAGTCGCGCGAGGGCCCTCTTCCATGACTTGACTTGGACTTATCTTGGACCCCTTGGGCCCCCCTTGGGGCCCTCCGGAGCCCTTCAATGCTTTTGCGGAGGGCCCCGCGAGGGGCCCAAGGAGAATCAAGTCACGCGAGAACCTGATTGCGTGGCGTGAGTTTGTCTCCTCGTTGGCCTCTCTTGGGGCCATCTTGGGGCCCTCTGAGGGCTCTCTGCAGGCCCTCCAATATCGTCGTGTAGGGCCTCTCGGGGCCTTCTGGAAGCCCTCCCAAGGCCCCAAGGACGCCCTTCCGCAAGGACCCCTTCAGCAGAGACGCTGATAGGAGAATCTCGGGAACCTGGGAACTTCGTCGCACTTTCGCCACATCCTCGCAATCTTGGGAACACGTGGGCCAGGGAACCTGGCTGCCAACCGAAACTGGGCCGGGACTTTCGCCAAACCTCCGCCTCCATCCCCCGCCTCCTCCTCCTCCTCCTCCTCCTCCTCCTCCTCCTCCTCCTCCTCCTCCTCCTCCTCCTCCTCCTCCTCCTCCTCCTCCGCCTCCCTCCCGCCCACCCCCTCCCACCCCTCCTCCTCCTGACTCCTCCTCCTCCTCCTCCTCCTCCTCCTCCTCCTTCTCCTCCTCCTCCTCCTCCTCCTCCTCCTCTCCTCCACTTTCGCCAAACTCCGCCTCCATCCCCCGCCTCCTCTCCTCCTCCTCCTCCTCCTCTCTCCTCCTCCTCCTCCTCCTCTCCTCCTCCTCCTCCTCCTCCTCCTCCTCCTCCTTCCTCCTCCTCCTCCTCCTCCTCCTCCTCCCCTCCCCCCTCTCCTCCTCCTCCTCCTCCTCCTCCTCCTCCTCCTCCTCCTCCTCCTCCTCCTCCCTCCTCCTCCTCCTCCTCCTCCTCCTCCTCCTCCTCCTCCTCCCCTGGCAAGTGCTGTTAGGTAGTCTTATGCGATTTGTTGTGTCAGCCCCTACCCCCCCTCGTCTCTTCGTGCCTGGTCGCATACACCATCTCTCCCATTCCGAAGCTTTTTGGGCCACGTCATCGGGCCTCGGGGACCATCCATCCTCAGCATCAGCATCAGCATCAGCATCAGCATCAGCATCATCATCATCATCATCATCATCATCATCATCATCATCATCATCATCATCATCATCATCATCATCATCATCATCATCCTCATCCTCATCCTCATCCTCATCCTCATCATCATCATCATCATCATCATCATCATCATCATCATCATCATCATCAGTAGCAGCAGCATCATCATAATCATCAGTATCATAATCATCATCATCAGCATCATCAGCATCATCATCAGCATCATCATCACCAGTATCATCATCATCACCATCATCATCATCATCAGCAGCAGCAGCATCATCATCCCGCGTTTCCTCATCCTCCTCCTCCTTCTCTTCCTCCTCCTCCTCCTCCTCCTCCTCCGCCTCCTCGTCCAGGGACCCCATCGCGGCCAGTTTCTGCAGCTGTGGCCAGCCGTGGCGACGAGGACCTCTAGAAACGCCCGAGAAACTCCAACTTCCCGCCCTCGAACCTCGACCCTCGAACCCCGAACCCTCGACCCTCGACCCTCGACCCTCGACCCTCGACCCTCGACCCTCGAACCTCGAGCCGACCCTCAACCCCTCGAAGCCCTACCCTCGCCACCTCGACCCCATCGACCCCCGAAGCCTAGAAGGCACTGGGGACCTCGACCCCTGAACCCCAAAGCCTAGAAGCCCCCCAACCCCCCACACTGCCCCATCCCCTCGGGCGCGCCGCCCGTCTCCCCCACGTCGAGCTGCCACAGGTCCACGCCCTTCAGGTTGAAGGAGTCCGTGGACATCTCTGAGAGGACCGTCCTGGCGAGGCCGAGAGGCGCTGAGGTCTGCGCCGACCAAGGGCGCTCAACTCCGCGCTTCGCGCTGCGCGAAGCGCGGGGCGCGAAAAACGTCGCGCCCTCGCGCCGCCCCCGAGGGAGAAGAGCTTTTTTTTTCCAGGGGAGGAGGGAAGAGGCGCAGCCGAAGCGCGCCAGGAGCCCCTCTAGGGACGGTGGGCCCGCCGCGACGCCGAAGTGCAGGAGGAAGGAATCCAAAGGACAGCAGGTGCATGTCCGCGAGGAGCAGGTGGAACCCGATGACAACCACCGCGCTCTCGAAGAGCAGCACAACCCGACTGGCCGCGAGCGGCACGGCGGCCAAGAGGACGAAGCCGCCGTAAATGAGCATGCTCAGCAGTGAGAAGCCGTAGGCTCTGCCTCCCAAATTTCCCCGCATTCTTCATCAGGCGCTCCCACTTGCGAAACCTGATCGTGCCCAGCGCAGCGCGAGCCTCCGCATCAGCCATGCTCCAAGGAACGATGCCCCTATCCAACTGCTGCTGGATCACGGGGCGGATCCGAGCGTCCGCAGCCACACGGTCAGAACCAGGAGCTGCAGGCCCGCTCGAAGACCCAGAGATAGCACCACCAGCAGCAGGAGAAGGGTCATCATCATGAAGAAGGGGATCACACTCCAGGCACCAACGATCACCATCAGTATGCTCATGACCCCCACGATCAGCGACATCATGAATGCCCAGGGGCTTGGGCTTCTTGTTCTTATTCCGTGTTTTAGCCGTCTCCTCAACAGGCTCGACAATATCATGAGCGCCTCCTTTTTACCAACGTCGCTACGATGGGCTCCATAAAGCACCAGTGGCCAATGCAGTCCAGGGAAGTTCTTCGTGAGGGTACGTTTCCCCGCATCAGCACGCCCAGGATCACGACCCCGAGGAACACCACCGAGCCAACATCTCCAGCAAAGGGGACACCAGCAAGCACTTCGGCATGAAGGCCTGCACCACCGCGTACCCCTCGACAGCCGTCAACTCGGCCATGAAACACTCCACCTGGAAGGTCCGCACAATCTGGTGGACCTGGATGGAGCCCCTCGCCAGGACGGCCCGCAACTCCAGGTAGCGTCACACCAACATCCACTCCACCAAGGGAAGGCTCACCAGGAAGATCCGTTCCATCATGTAGCACGCCAAGGAGCCCTGCGCCCGGACGATGTTCACTGGGAGGGGCCCGCACCTCCAGAGAGAATTCCACGAACACCCACTCCGCCAGAAAACTCTTCACAAGGACGAACCGCGCCACCAGGTCGCACTTCACGAGCATCCCCTCATCCAGGGGCCAAGTCACCCAGAATAGTTATCCGCACCACAATGTAGCCCTCCAGGGAGTACGATGTCGTTTCGTCACAATGTCGTCCACGGTGTCATTTTGCCACTCAGGGAGACAGAAACCAGGAGAAAATACAACCGGCCGCTCGCGAATGCCATACGAAGAGCCTCTATCCCCACAACGAAGAACAGGGTCAAGAGCCCCGCCAGCACTATGAGCACCAGCTCCAAGAACGGTATCCCAACGATTCGAAACACGCTCATGAAGAAGGACATCCACGTCACCACCAGGCGGCATAGTAAACTCGGGTGCATCTCGGTTCCAGGCGAACTCTGGAAAATGAAGAACGTCGGGTAAGCTAGGGAGGGAGCCGCACCACCTTCACTTCGTCGAAACCGTTTAGCTGCGCCCAAGGAATGCCATGCGTGAGCACCGCCTCCGCGGCGCTGATGCCCCGCCACGCGTGCGCTTGCCGGGCGTTCCGCCCCGCCCGATCTGAGGGGCGCACCCGGTCTACGTGCGGGCGCGTTGCCGACGTTCTGGCGGCACTCCTTATGGTCCTCCTCTCTCTCGGAGCAGAGGGCGCCTTGAGATGAACGGAGCCGCGGACAGAAGGGGGCGTCACCACCAGTTCCATGCCAGGGAACATGCTCGTCGGGTTCAGCACGTCTGACGGTGCCTATGACCACCTCCGCCACCAGGGTCAGCGCCACCAGCTCCGTTAGCGAGACGGGTATGCAGCACAGGCGGAACGAGGAGGAGGAGAGGAGGACGAGGAGGGCGGAGTGGGCAACGTGGTTGCCAAAGTTGTCGCACCACGTGCCGGCGGCCTAATTACAGCCGTCGCCCAGCGGAAAAAAGCACTGGCGGGCCCCAACCCAGCGCGTTCTGACAGCCTGCGGCCTCCGGGCCCACGTTCGGCTCGGCTCTCCTCGGAAGCAAGGTGCACGACCTCGGCAGCCGGGGGGGTGCGCAACGAGTGAGCAGCACAGCCCACCGGGCCCAGGAGGAGAGGGGGAGGGAGACAAGGCAGCTGGGGCCCAGGCGGCGCAGAAAACCTCGGAGCGACTGCGTGCCGTCCGTCCGAAGGGCGGTGGCCGCGATCCACGGCGAGGCGAGCGCCAGCCAGCTGAAGAAGACGATCGATCAGACCAAGGGCTGCGAGCTGAGCGAACGGCGACATAAGTCCGCAACTTGGCGTGAGCCTTCCATGTTTGATTCTGCACTTCATCTCGAACCTTCCCCTCCTCCGCCTTGCCGGCGCACATCAATTCGTTAGCAGTCCGCCTGGTGCAGTACGTCTCTAGAACAGTATACTGGACGTCGTTGTCGCTGCAAACAATACAAAACACGTCAAAGGCGAGGACTGCCTTGTTGAACTGCAGGCTCATAGCGATGGTCAGCTTCACCTCGATCGAAGCGCCCCTGCATGGCCGCGCAGCCCGCAGAGAAGCGGACACGGGCGCCCTGCAGGACCTGCCGCCGAGTCCATGCCAGGCGCGAGGCGGCGACCAGGGCACGCGCGGGAGAGGGGGGGGTGAGAGCAGGGAGCGAGGAGAAGGGCGGAGGTGCGCCCCGAGAGCCACGGGCACGGGCAGGTGCCCGAACCAGAACGGCTCCGCCCCCCAAGGGAGCAGAGGAGGACGAGGAGGCATCGGAACCGAAGCGCGGAGCGCGAAGCGCAACCATGTTCACGCTCTCGCGCCGCCCCCCAGAACCGCGAAGCGCGGACGTGTGCGCGCTCTCGCGCCGCCCCCCAGGGGAGAAGAAGGACGAGGAGGAATCGGAGCCGAAGCGCGAAGCGCGAAGCGCAAACCGCTCCGCGCCCTCGAGGGCGCCCCCTTGGCGGCCCGCTTCGCTCGGCGCTGGGCCGCCTCTGGCCGCCCGGGAGCCTGGCCGCACGTCGCCACATAACTTTTCTGGGCGGGTCAGGGCCTCCCTTGCGGCGCACCTCTGGCTCGTCGTCGTGAACGTCGTCGTCGCCGTCGCCGTCGTCGTCGTCGTCGTCGTCGTCGTCGTCGTCGTCGTCGTCGTCGTCGTCGTCGTCGTCCTCGTCCTCGTCGTCGTCGTCGTCGTCGTCGTCGTCGCCGTCGTCGTCGTCGTCGTCGTTGTCGTCGTCGTCCTCACCGTCGTCGTCGTCGTCGTCGTCCTCACCGTCGTCGTCGTCGTCCTCCTCGCCGTCGTCGTCGTCGTCGTCGTCGTCGCCGCGCCGACCGCGTGGCCACCGCCGACCCGAGAGCCCAAGGACCCCGCGCCGCGAGCTTCTCACGGCGTGAACCCCCAAGGGTCTCGGCCCGAAACAGAAAAACAGCCTTCAAAGACCCTCCTCCTCCTCCTCCTCCTCCCGGGACCGGCTGTTTTTGTTTCCTACTACGTATATATACAGATATACACATACATGTGTATATATATATATATATATATATATATATATATATATATATATATATATATGTACAGATAGATACACATATACATATTCATATACATATACATAGACATATACATATACCTATACATATACATATACATATGCATATGCATATGCATATACATATACGCATACATTTACATACACATACACATATACATATACATATACATATACATACACATACACATATACATATACATACACATACGCATATACATCTACATGTACATGTGCATATACATATACATATACATTTACATAAGCATAATCATATACATATACATACCCCAACACATATACATATACTGATACTGATATACATATACGTATACATATACATATATATACACATACAAATACACATACCTATACATGTACATATACATATACATATACATATTCATATACAGATACATGTACATATACATATACATATACATACACATAGACATATACATATACATATGCATATACAAATACAAATACATATACATATACATATACATATACATATACAAATACATATACATAGATACACATATACATATACATGTATATATACATATATATAGACATAAACATATACATATATATATACACATACACAAACATATACATAACAATATACATATACATACATACATACATACATACATACATACGTATGGGGGGGGCGACGGGGGAACGAGGGAGAGGAGGGCGACGAGGGCACGAGGGAACGAGGGAGAGGAGGCGAGGGAACGAGGGAACGAGGGCGAGGAGGACGACCCAGGACGAGGGAGAGGAGGGAGAGGAGGGAACGAGGGAACGAGGGAGACGAGGCGAGAGAACGAGGGAAGGAGGGCGAGGAGAACGACCCAGGACCGGCTTCTCATCCCGAGTCGTCTTCTGGAAGCCCCAGGAGCCCGGGCGACGGCCCCCCGACCACAGCAAAGAAAAGGTCTCCCGCCGTGTGTTTGTTCCCTACCTAGGCTCTGCCTAGAAGGGTTCTTACACTCTGGGCTTAAAGGGCCGGGCAGTGGAAAGCGCCCCGGGCGGTTCCCCCAGTATCCGCCCCGCGGTTCCCCCAGTTACGTCCCCCTAGCATAGCATAGCATAGCATAGCATAGCATAGCATAGCATTAGCATTAGCATTAGCATTATCATAAGCATAGCATAACCCCATGCTCACGAGAATAAACACTAGGGGATAATTAAGTCCGGGGTTCAGGGGGAGATAATCAAAGTAGCCCACCAGACCTCAGCATAATCTCGAAGTAAGA